CTTTGGTTGGAGGCTTGCTTGTCACTTTGCTGCAGCTGTCAGTCACAGGGACCAGTGTGAGCTGCCCAGCCTTTAGCTTCTGCAAGCTGTAAAGCTTCTTGGAAGCAGGCTCAATGCCCACAAGCTCCCACAACCCTTTGGGCTCTAGCTTATGGGCTGCTTTCAGTAAGCAAATGAACAAGCTGGCCTGCTTCTGCTCAGCTGCACACAGGGTGGAAGGCAATCTGGAAGCAGCAACCTGCTTTTCCAAAATGCTAGGAACTGGCCCTTTGTGAAGCTTCAGCTCTTTGTGGCAGCTAGCAGTAGGCAGCTCCATCTCCCCTTCTGCAAACAAGCTGGCAGCCTCAAAGCCAAGATTATCCCTGTCCAGGCTCACAAGCTTCCAGAGCTGGTCCTTGTGCTGGTAGATGTTCCCCATCTTCAGCTCCATCTTCTGTTGTGCGAGCCACAAAGGATCATAGGACTGCCCCAAAGACACCATGGACATCTCAGCTGGCTTGCTTACCTCAACCTTTCCCGAAGAGCTGGAAGCTGTTGCCCCTTGCAACTGCTTCTCAAAGAGGTCCATGATGTCAATGGCAGACTTGTGCACAATGCCTTCTCTGCCCATCTTCCTCAATTTGAATTTATAATTCCTTCCAATAACCCTAAATCATAAACCCTAAACCCTATGAAAAAACATTTTGGCAATTTAAAGGAAACAATAACTGACACAACTTGGGTGCTCCTTGGACAGTACAAGCAAAGTGCAGCGAATGCACAACATGCCAAAAGCTTTTACAGCTTCTGGGCATGGGAGCAACTTTTCAATCTTCTCCCAGGCTTGATACAAGATGTTCTCACAGTCATTCAAGACAGCCATCACCTTCGGGGACTTCAACTTCTCAAAGTCAGATTTGACCACTAATCTTGCAAGTCCATTGGACACCTTGCTGCTAGGAGCAGCATAATTGGTTGCAAGCATTCCTAGCCTCACCATCGGAATCTGGGCATGCAGTGGGGAGCCACACATGGACCAGAACTCTTGGCCACAATTGATGGCCTCTCCAAACTCCTTGGAGAAGGGTGCCAAAAACTGGAGAAACATGCCTTTGCAGCTGTACAGCTCAAACCATCGAGCCATGTCTGAGCAATAGCTCTTCAGTGGGCCTGTCTGGCAAAGCTGGGCTGCTGCTTCCTGCAGGTTAACTCCAGGGTTGCGATTTGCCATCTGCACCAGCTGCATCAACAGCTCCACTTCATTTTGCCCAGTAAAGGCAATGTTGGAAGAGTTCAAAGCCTTCTCGGCTATGCTCGGAAGGTCAGGCCACACAGTCTCGACTTTGCTGGAAATGATCGTCCAACTCCATCCCTGCTCAGAAAGCCTCTTGAATTCCAAATCTCTGGACAGGCTCTGAGCATTCAACCTCCCTCCAGTGTCAGCAAGCAAGCTTTGGCCAGTCTTGCATTGGGCTAAGACAGCCTTCACAAATTGTGTCAGGTGGCCACTGCTCACTGAGAGATATCTCTCCTGACCATTGAGGGGGGCAAGGAGTCCAGCAGACTGCTCTATCATCTTTTGGTTGAAAAGCACTTGCTGCTCTCTAGCAGAAGAATCCACTGACAACTCGAAGCCTCAGATGAGCTCCAAATTAATCATAGGGAATCTTGAGCTGCTTCATGGCTTAAAAATCAAAAGCAAAATCATGCAAAACCAATAATGTGCAAGGTACATGTGCTGCTGTGCAGATATCTGGAGTCGAACCCACTCTGGAAGAGGTTCGCACCTTTGGCATGTGAAGCATGAGCATTCACACCCAGCCCACTACGATTTTGTGGGTGAACCATCATCAAAGTAGCTGGCAGCTGCTGCTTCCAAGCAAGGCCATTTTTCTCCAAGATGTCCAGGATTTGCATCCATTGACTCAAGGCAGGCATGCCCTCATCAAGCAGCAACTTGTTCACAGCCCCCTGCACAGACTGTGTCACATCCATGGCCCCAGCAAGCAATGAAGCCTTCTATGCAAGAAGTTGCACCCACCCATGCTGTGTGCCACTGCCATGCTTGCTGTGTAACATGTTTGCTGCATGCATGCTTCCAAAAAACACTACTGCGTGCGACTGAAAATGCCATATGCATTACAATATGTGACATGGTGACAAAGCATGCAGC